AAAAAAAATTTAAATCAAAAAATTTTGTTACCAGTATATTATATCTACTATAATATTTGATGAGTAAAACAAAAGAAATTTTTTGAGAATGCGTTAAAATTTTAAATTCAAACAAACGTTTTCGCACAAAAAATGTTAGACTTCCAAATATGACCGACTGGCACATACTCCCCGGACTCAAGATCGATATACTCATCGCATGTAGTCGTCCGTCAGTGAGCCTAATTGTGCGAAACGTTTTCGCACAAATTTTAATCATCAGCTTACAAAGCGGAAATTCAGGGTGCAGGTGTATGCAGATTTTGATTGCTGTTTAGCGATATGGTGACAATTTTGCATGGTTGTGAATTTTGAGGTTTAGATAAAGTTAAATCTGCTGCATATTTCTGTAAATGACTACTGGCACTGTATCTTGAGACGCACTGAACATTCTGAAGGCTCATTGACGGACGACTACATGCGATGAGTACATCGATCTTGAGTCCGGGGAGTATGTGCCAGTCGGTCATATTTGGAAGTCTGACATTGAGAAAGCGTTTAGTCCTGATTTTGAGGTGAAGAGCAATTTTTCAAAAATTCGAATTGAGCATATCATGCTCAAGTTTCTCGCGACAACTGAAAATACCAGAAAAATAAGATCAGAAGATTCGAACTACAAACGCGGAGAAGTAGTCAAAAATAGCAGCGGGAAATTGCTATTCGCATTTTCCAATACATAATTCGAACTAGAGTTGATCTGTCTTCTTGTTGGCTGAAGACGGAAAGTGATTGCGAGTGGAGAAGAAATAAATTAGAGTGAACCAGAGTGATCCTTTGGTGGAAAGGGGGACAGCTGAAGGTACCTGATGGTCCAGACCAAAAACTTGTTTCTCGAGTTAAACTTAATTACCCATCATTTCTAGAGTTGCTTTTTAAATTAGTTAATCAGTTCTAGAGGTCGTCGGAATGTGAGCTAATTAACTTTCTTGAGTGTGTTTTATATTGTTATGTTGAGTTAGGTAGAGTTTTTAGGTTGATCCATCTGAAATTGATCAAAGTTCCACTGTCTAATTAAAAGTAACTATACATAGGGTTTCGACGGCGTTTTAACGGCGTTCGTGTATTTTGGGTATTTTGAGACCTGAGTATGGGGGCGTTCTTACTTTCTAGAGTGGGGGGGGGGGTATTTTTTTGGTTGTGGCCTTTAAGCTGTAACGCGGGTTTTAGTCGCAAGTGAACCGAATTGGCTCCGACCGCTTGAGGTAGAAAAACACAAGAGATAGTGTCCCTGACTCTTGAGCCAATGGTTATAGGGCCTATATTTCTTTAACCTCATATGTTACGTAGACTTAAGTAGGCGACTGTTACAATTCAAGAATCCTGAAGGGTCTTGGAAAGAGACAAACTGGTTTTTAAACAATATTTAGCTTCTCGATATGTCTTGAACTGAATTTAATGCACATCTAATTCATTTTCCGGAATATGAGGAGCTAGGATTTGAGGGAAAGGATTGATCCATCTCGGATGTATATGATGATTTTTATCTACTGAACAAAAACAGTACTAATATGATAATGAATAGTAGCCCTGTTTTTAGAGTGACCTCGTGGTCAGGGGATACTGAGACCCAGCCATGAGCTCTTCATTCGACAGGGCGCAAAGTGGACAAAAGAGAAGCTTCCCGTGGCGGACGAATGACTAGCAGCTTTCATGAATATACTAACTTACAATGTGAGAAGTATATTTGAATACCAACGCCGAACAAATTTCTCCAATGCCGTTCAAGTGAAAAATATTTATCAAATTATCTGCCTAACAGAAACGTGGCTCACAGAGAGCATTAGGGATATAGGTCTGTTTCTACCCAACTATGCGATACATCGAAAAGACAGACTATCTGATAAAGGGTTGACAAAGCATGGCGGTGTACTGATAGCAGTAAGCAAAAACATTCCAAGCTCTCAAATTGACTCAATTTTTCAAGACTGTGTGATAATTCGTATAAGCTTAAATAAAACATTCCTAATATGTTGTCCTTACAGCGCCCCGTCAAACAGTGCGTACACATGGACTCTTCCGGACATCGTTGAGCTCCTAAAATTCATTAGGCGAAAACAGTTCGAATACAGTGCTGTTTGCTCATGTATAGCTGGCGACATCAATCTTTCATCTACACACTGGCCCTCAATGACGTCAACATCTCTCTTCGATTAAACAATCCTCAATGAACTATGTGAATCAAATTTTCAGCAACTCATAAAAACCCAGGACGGAAGGTCACTGGATGTTCTCTTATGCAATAAACCCCAGTATGTGACAAGCATAGTCATTGATAACCATCTGAGAAGTCTCTCCAATTCTGATCACAAACCTTATCAAGCTAAAGTCTCGTTTGACATCTGACCTGTACATATCTCTTCACCGTCTCCCAAACAAAAGCTAGACTTCGGTATATTTGCATACAAGAAAGCTAACTGGAAAGAAATTAATGAGTTCATTCTCCAACATCCCTTCCGACCATACTGCATGAGCAATGTGGATTTGATGGTTGAACTTTGGTATAAGTGGCTACATGAAATATTAAAGGATCTTCTTCCAATAACCACGAAACATAGGTCCGAACTGGCTCCATGGGTAAGTGGCAACTCTTCAAACCTCATCAAGAAGTTAAAAACACTTCAATTGAAACAACAACGGCAGCCCACGCCGTCAAACAAAATCAAAATCAAATGTCTACAAACTGAGCTCACCTTGTCGCTTCAAAATGACCAGCATCTACATGAGAAGACGCTCTTCAAGGAAGGCAAATTCAGCGACATACAGAGACACTTGAAGTCGATCACCAAGTCGAACACTATCCCTAACGAAATTTTTTTTGATCAAAGAACTGCCAATACAGATATTGAAAAAGTAATATTATTCAACGAATACTTTCAATCAGTGTTCACTCAAAACACCTACTATACGAAAATAGGCGAACAAAATAGCACCCTACTAAATCAGATTCACTTTACGACCGATGAAATAGAAAACGCTCTGCAACTACTGGACGTAAATAAAGCCATAGGACCGGATAAGATCGGGAACTTACTTCTGAAGAGTCTCTCCAAGTCACTGCCGAAATCACTGCACTTACTGTTTAACCTCATCGCAAATAAAACCCGATTTCCGGAAAAATGGAAAACAGTGAAATTGCACGAATACTCAAAGACGGAGATAAAAAAGATGTGAGTAATTACAGGCCTATCAGCCTGCTTTCAACAGTCTCAAAACTGCTAGAGAAACTGATTTTCGAGAAGCTGACTCCAATTGTTTACCCAACTCTGGCATCAGCCCAACATGGTTTCAGACCCAAACGTTCAACTATAACGAACCTTATAGAATATCTGCATGAAATCTATAGCTGCTTAGAGTCTGAAAACTGCTCCTATCTGAATATCTTCTATATAGACTTCGAGAAAGCGTTTGCAAAGTCACGCATGATTTTCTCATACAAAAGTTGGCTGCTCTGGGGATTGGTGGAAACTGTTTTAATCTGTTAAGAAGCTACCTCTATAAACGGAAGCAAACTGTGAGACTAAATGACACTGTTTCAGATGAATTAGAAGTATTCAGTGGCGTACCACAAGGCTCCATCCTCGGACCGCTCTTCTTCTTGGTTTTCATAAACGATCTTCCATCATGTGTCATGTCCAAATCGTTCGGTTATGCTGATGACTACAAAATTGTAGGCGACAACCCTTTAAGATTGAATATAGACGTTAGAAAACTGTGGCGGTGGTGTGACGAAAATTTCATGTCAATGAACTTAGGAAAAAGTAAAGTGCTCTGCATTAAAGGTACAGCTCCTATTGCACTGCCAAACCATGAATTTGAAACAACTGAATGTATGAAAGATCTGGGAATTCTCGTAAATGACACACTCTCGTGGACTCTGCATGCAAAGAAAAGGACCGAAAAAGCCTTGAAAGCTCTCTTCATCCTAAAACGGAATCTTTCAAAAGGGACGTTTTGGACCAGAAAGAACGCATATATCTGTTATATTGTGCCCATTTTAAACTACGGATCAGCCCTTTGGAAACCATCAAAAGGCGACTTGGGTACTCTTGAAAGTATCCAGCGAAAACCATATATTCATTTTGATAAACGAATCGGCCTCAAGACGAGAATTTTAAACACGATGTGGAAATTTGTAAACGAGAGATTTTCAGAAATGACAACGTGCACGTGGCAATTATTCTGTGATTGTATCACGTGCAGAAACAAGTGGACATTGTTTTAGAGAAGACGCCGGGACCAAGAATCCCAACAGCAGTGCTGTGAATCCCCAACAACAACAACAAAAAAGCAGTATCATGGATCTTCATCACAAACAACATATCCTATAAGGATAAGCTCGTGAAATTCGATGTCCTTCCAATCTCCTTATATCAAGAACTTCATGTTATTCTCTGGTTTGCTAAAATACTAACCGGAAAAGTTGACAGACTGGCGTAGTCAAGTAACCATCACAGACATCCGTACTCGAAGAACACAAGCAACACGAAATTTTGCCTGCCAACAAATACGTCTGAAGAAGTGTGAATCAGATTACTGATTTCGAGCTTGCCGTCTGGCCAACCTTTTTAACGATTACTTCAAATTTGACATAATCTTTGATCCAGGATGCAAAATTAAACTGCTGGAAGTTTATACGAATTTCTTCAAAACCCGCTACAACGAGTCAGATTCATGCACTTGGCGGATATTATGTGGCTGCAACAACTGTAGAGATTTGAAGAAACTTAACTTTAACTACTGAAACACGAACGTTGAACCTCCCAATTACTGGGTTTTATGCGAACCCTTGGATTAGTCCTAATCCTAAATCCTTTGTTATTATTATTATTATATATTTAAGTTAATTTGCGCGATCTGGCGGATAGTCTTAAATAGTAACGACTTTCTCGACCCGATGTTGATGGACCACACATTGAACTGGCTTTGGTTGAGATCGCTTCAAGAGGTTGTTGTTTTCAGTTGCCGCGCAGATGATAGCAAGTAATAGTCTATGTTGTAAATTGAAGCATGCAGCCAGTTGTGAACTATCGTGGCTGCATGTCCCTCATTGCACAAATTGTGAAGACCATGACAGATGAGTCATGCCTTACGATCAAACTGACCAAAAAGAGGGAAAATTTCATCTTGGAGACAACACATCACTCTGCATCGCCCTCTTCAACGAACTTAAGTGCAAAAGAAAACCAATTGTCGTCTGAAAAGAAACACAAAGAAACTTTTGCTATTTCAGAAAAAGATACTTCAGATGTGTGCAAAACGCCTTCGATAACTATCGAAGGTAGGTGGTGCAATGTTTAATACTTTCCTCCGTTTTCTAATTTTTTTGAGAGCAAGTTTCTTATAATCGTGAGCAAGACGTTTGATGAAATTAATTTCTTCGGGAAAAGCAGTCGGTCGATTTTTTTGCTTGTCTGCTTAGTTTTCTAAGTGTGTAGTTTTTTTTCTGATTTAAACAATTCTGTTATTATTTGATTCAAAATCGGATTTTGAATTCAAAAATTTTCAATTACAATGTTTTCAGCTCATGTGATATCGGGTTATGTGAATTTACTTTGTGTCATTTGAAGGGTACAACACAAATTGATTATTTGGTCAAAAATGAACCAGACAAGTTGTTGGCCAAATAAACGGAATTTTGTTGTCGGCTCAATGGGCGTTCACCAATGTATTATCGGTTTATTGGCCGATTAAATACTAAGTGCTTATGAAGAGTAATGAAAGTAGTGAAAACTCTTATATATAGGTTTTGCTGATTTTTTTGTTTTTTTTTTCAGGAAGAAGTTTTAAAATATTAATGCATTTAGGAATATATGCTTTTTTTGAGTTCAATTGAAATTCATCTGCTTGAAAGTGACGTAAATAGTCTTCTCCAAATACAAACATCCAAATGGCGCAAAAGTTCGTGAAGGATTTCTAGTTAGGAAAGTGAATTTAATTTTTAGATTTTCAGCGGAATAAAAACTTTTACCGGTTTTTTACCCGTCATAAATCGTTCCAAGAACTAGACGAACTTAAAGGGCATCTATTTTTTTCTTTGAAATTTGAAAGTTGAGATTTTTTCATTAAAGTCAGTGTTTTTTTAATGTTTACTTGTGTTCATTACTCTTTTCCAATCTTCGATTGGGTGTGTTTGAATGCTGGTGCTTCTGTTTCTGGACTGTTTTTTAGCTTGTGATTAGCAGGAATTATCAAATTGGAATAGAGTCTTTTCAGTTTAACAAAATATGTAACAAAATCTATCTCCATCTATTATTTAATAGAGCGAGACATTTTCAGCCATGTTTAAGAAGTCCCTATGTTGACATGTTTAAGCATGTCACGCTTTCTCTTTATGTTTTAGCTACATTCTGTTTTGAATAGCTATGCTGTGCAAATAGGTTTAAACGTTACTGCTAACCTGCGGATTCTCGTCAATAATCGGTTTTCTGCGTAATTGCATTGTTTTTATTTAAGCATGCATGTTTGAACTAAATGATGCTTTGCAAGGATGGTTTATTTCACTAATTTATCTCTTTTTGTAAAACCTAAATCCGGGTTATTTTGAGCATTTATTTTGATGCTTGGTGGTACTTTTTCGATTACCTGATTCTTTTCAGACTCTACGTTCTACTAATCCTTCTCTTCGTTTTGGGCTTAAGTTTCCTATTTGAAAGCTGAATCCGCCTTGAACTTGTTCATTGGATACTGCCGCATGGGCTCAGTTAGGTGTCTACTGTCTGAAAAGCCTCCGTCCTGCTCTGCAGGTGTTATGGAGGCTATAGGGACATTGCACAATTAGTAGAAGCAGTAAACGTGAAGTGAACAAGTTCTAGAAAGATAAATGAACTGGCTACGAGGGACTACGACTAGCGAGTTTCCGGGTCAAGTTTATTTCGGCAGAGAGTTTTGGCTGAAAAATAGTCCATTTTACCAGTTGAGATGTGTATGGTTGACAGCGCAGGATAACGAAAAGATGTGTATTGTCAGATTTGTTGTTGGCAGCCTTCTGTTAAACGCGTTTAATTGATTTTTCATAATTTAGTTTTTCGCTTCCAATTCATTTATTTTTCTTCAAAAAACCTATTTTTCCTAATTGAATGTTCATTTTGTCACATGCTCGATAATATAGGATTGAGAAAAAACGTTACTCAATCGATTTGTTGGTTGTTTTTATGTTTGCAAAAAAAGCTTAGCAATGATTCGTTCATTAGTGTTCAAAAGGAGTTAACAGCTGTTTGTTTTTTTTTGTTAAATTGTTTTCCCTTTTGTTATTTTTATCTAGTTAAGAAGCTGCTATGCAGTGTTTTGTTCTTTTTGATTTTGTAATTTGAATAAAGTTTTTTACTGGATACTTCTTTCTTTTCTAATGCGTTGCATTGATTTCTTATTTAATTTCAGTTTTGTGTTTCTTCAGGTTTTTCACAAAAACTCTGCAACTATTCTTTTTCTTCTTGTAAGAAGTTTTTTTTCTTTTTATAATTTAGATATAATCATTTAGAATGCAGGAGTATCTGCACTGGATCGCTAGTCAGTCGAATCCCTTGACTTCTTTCGCTTCCACACTTTTCACTCAATTTCATGAATTACCGGTCCTACTGCTTCTACATTGTAGAAATAATATCAGCATGCTGGATATTAGCAATAAATTCAAATCTCTTGGCGTCTCCCGCAAACTTAGCCTTAAGATAGCACCTATAAATGGGACTGCTAAGGTCCTGGGCTTTAATGGGGTTAGAACCCGTTTTTTTAACTGAATTTTTTGCATTCTAAAAAATTGCCGCGTATCGTTTGTCTGACTTTGTTTTGACAGCTTATTTGCAGCATCACTGAGTTTTCGTTTCTAAACAAATTCAGTTGAAATATCTTTTTAAAAATTCAGGTAAACCATTGGATACCTATTTCATTTTTTTTGGCTTTGCATGAAAACGCGATCTATTGGTAAAGATTACGGCTGGGTTGGCAAATGTGCTAGACTTATTCCAAAAGGAAAAATTCTGTTTCTAAAAAATTGTCGGCCTAATGTTTGTCTGCTCATGTTTGTTCCTGTGTTACCTCGTCATGGATGTTTCTTGTGATAACAGCATTTTTTATTGTGATTGAAAGTGTTTTGGCTTGTTCCTATAATTTCTATACTTCAAAATCTAATTTATTTGTATTTTTTTTCGCTTAAAAGTTTAAATTGGCCTCAATGTTTCGGCCTATGTTTTATAGGCTTTGTGGTCTAATTTTGCCACGTTTGAAGGCATAAATAGGTTTATATGCGTTTGTGTGTTTGTTTTTTGCCTCTGTGTCGGAAATTGAAGTTTTTATTTGAAAAAAAATCCCATTTTACGAATATTGCTTTTTTGACTTCCGTATTTCCATCTCATTTTCTATTTGCTTGCTGACAATGGCATGCTTATAAGAGACCGTGGAGCAGATTAGTTAGCATATGCAGCTGCTTTTTTTGTGACTAGTGTTTGCCGGTTGTTAAGCGTTCGTGGTCGAGAGGGAAGGACGTGATACTCCAAATCTCGAGGTCGCAGGTTCAAATCCGACTCAAGCAAAAATTTTACTAATTCGAGACTTTTTTTTAACCTTTTTTATTTCATTCCTTAGAGCTATTTTTGTTCGTTTTCTTGTCTGTGTTTGCGAAGTGCAGCTTCTCTGTGTTAATTATTATTTATCTGCATGAGTTTTGACTTGGTTACTCTCTTGAACTCCCTCTGGGTCTAAAGTTTTTTTGAATTAGGTGCAATTTTATTCTGATAAGTTTTGTTTTAAGCATCATCGCAGGAAAGTGAATACACACCTCATTTAGAAATGACTCCTAGTACATCTCGATACAACAACAAGGAAGTCATTCAAGTCGAAGATGATGACGAAGATGAAATTGTCATCTGCAGAAGTAGCGCCAAAAAAGAAACCAAAAATTCCAGGCGCTCATCGAGGATCAAAACACGAGAAGAAATAGAGGAAGAAAAAGAAAAGAAAATTGAAGAATTACAGAACAAACTGAGGAAAACGCCAAAAGAGAAAAGAAAACCAGTCATTGATGAAGATTCCGAAAGTGAGAAAGAGTCGAACAATCAGAAGGATCCGCAAGTTAATGGTAAAGATAGTGGGAGTAGTGATGATGAACAAATAGTAATATCGCGCAGTGCTTCCAAGAGAACTCCAAGTAGACGAATTTCAAAGTTAGAAAACAAGAAAGTCGAAAAACAGGAATTGATTAACACCACCCTTGGGAAAACTCCGACAAGCGCTGAAAAACGTCCTAAAAACGTCATTGATTCTGACGATAGCGATGAAGATACACATAGAAATTCGAGTAGTAAGAAAAAGAAACGACCCATTGTTGATGATGCATCACAAGATGCAAGTTTAGTTACGGTTCCTAGTTCTGCTAGCAAATCAAAATCTAAGCATGATAAAAACGACAGCAAATGTTATGAAAGTTCAGATAGTGAACTTCTGGTTTTGGAAGATAGTGACGTGGACGAACTGGGATCCGAGTCAGACGCCCCTGGTCTACCTGAAGATGATGTTGAGGATGAAAGTGAAAATGCTGATTGGAGGAAAGCACTGCACCAAGTCATGGATTCGGATATGCGAATGAAGAGAAACTCGGAGACCCAGACATCGGCATTTCTGAAGGTGATCTACCTCTACCTCAACGCGGCCTCTTTCCCGGGAAAAGGTTATCCTTTGCATGTTACAGACTCTTTCAAACTATATCCGCCGGAATCGGGACCCAATTTGCGCAAATGTCTTCAAACAGTGACGGATAGAGTGAACGCAATGTTGGGAAAGTTCTCCAGGGCTACCTCTTGGCAAACTAATTTTCAGTTTTTGGTTGACCGCTGCTCTGAGATATCCATGGGGTACACCCAAGACAGAATGACATGTGAGGCGTGCGGTCGCAGCAACACTGTGAGCAGTCAATCTATTGAGTTCAAAGGGACCGCCTATGACCGGAAGACATACACATTGCAGAAAATAAGCAGTTTGAGTTACAAGGGACCCATCTTTTTCTGTGTTGGCTCACATTGCGTTGTTAGGATTGAAATGTACCACATGTTACGGCACTACTTGTTCTGTGTGTTTCTACAGTGTAAAAGGTATGCGGAGAAAAATCTTCTGTTGGACCATAGGCGCATCAGAAGAAAGAGTACAGATATAGAGAGAGATCTGAAACGGATAGCCTCGGAAGGCAATGAGTGGGCGTTAGATTTGTGTGAAATGTTCGCAAGGGACATGAACAGAGCTGCTAATCAACGGAAAGGACTTGACTGGAGTTTCGAAAGATGAAGCATATTAATCTAAACTTGACAGGTTACTGATGATTTGTCTGACAAAAACTGATGATTATTTATTTTTGCAGTGCTAGTTTTAATTTTGCAGTATTTAAATTTCACTCAATTTCATGAATTACCGGTCCTACTGCTTCTACATTGTAGAAATAATATCAGCATGCTGGATATTAGCAATAAATTCAAATCTCTTGGCGTCTCCCGCAAACTTAGCCTTAAGATAGCACCTATAAATGGGACTGCTAAGGTCCTGGGCTTTAATGGGGTTAGAACCCGTTTTTTTAACTGAATTTTTTGCATTCTAAAAAATTGCCGCGTATCGTTTGTCTGACTTTGTTTTGACAGCTTATTTGCAGCATCACTGAGTTTTCGTTTCTAAACAAATTCAGTTGAAATATCTTTTTAAAAATTCAGGTAAACCATTGGATACCTATTTCATTTTTTTTGGCTTTGCATGAAAACGCGATCTATTGGTAAAGATTACGGCTGGGTTGGCAAATGTGCTAGACTTATTCCAAAAGGAAAAATTCTGTTTCTAAAAAATTGTCGGCCTAATGTTTGTCTGCTCATGTTTGTTCCTGTGTTACCTCGTCATGGATGTTTCTTGTGATAACAGCATTTTTTATTGTGATTGAAAGTGTTTTGGCTTGTTCCTATAATTTCTATACTTCAAAATCTAATTTATTTGTATTTTTTTTCGCTTAAAAGTTTAAATTGGCCTCAATGTTTCGGCCTATGTTTTATAGGCTTTGTGGTCTAATTTTGCCACGTTTGAAGGCATAAATAGGTTTATATGCGTTTGTGTGTTTGTTTTTTGCCTCTGTGTCGGAAATTGAAGTTTTTATTTGAAAAAAAATCCCATTTTACGAATATTGCTTTTTTGACTTCCGTATTTCCATCTCATTTTCTATTTGCTTGCTGACAATGGCATGCTTATAAGAGACCGTGGAGCAGATTAGTTAGCATATGCAGCTGCTTTTTTTGTGACTAGTGTTTGCCGGTTGTTAAGCGTTCGTGGTCGAGAGGGAAGGACGTGATACTCCAAATCTCGAGGTCGCAGGTTCAAATCCGACTCAAGCAAAAATTTTACTAATTCGAGACTTTTTTTTAACCTTTTTTTATTTCATTCCTTAGAGCTATTTTTGTTCGTTTTCTTGTCTGTGTTTGCGAAGTGCAGCTTCTCTGTGTTAATTATTATTTATCTGCATGAGTTTTGACTTGGTTACTCTCTTGAACTCCCTCTGGGTCTAAAGTTTTTTTGAATTAGGTGCAATTTTATTCTGATAAGTTTTGTTTTAAGCATCATCGCAGGAAAGTGAATACACACCTCATTTAGAAATGACTCCTAGTACATCTCGATACAACAACAAGGAAGTCATTCAAGTCGAAGATGATGACGAAGATGAAATTGTCATCTGCAGAAGTAGCGCCAAAAAAGAAACCAAAAATTCCAGGCGCTCATCGAGGATCAAAACACGAGAAGAAATAGAGGAAGAAAAAGAAAAGAAAATTGAAGAATTACAGAACAAACTGAGGAAAACGCCAAAAGAGAAAAGAAAACCAGTCATTGATGAAGATTCCGAAAGTGAGAAAGAGTCGAACAATCAGAAGGATCCGCAAGTTAATGGTAAAGATAGTGGGAGTAGTGATGATGAACAAATAGTAATATCGCGCAGTGCTTCCAAGAGAACTCCAAGTAGACGAATTTCAAAGTTAGAAAACAAGAAAGTCGAAAAACAGGAATTGATTAACACCACCCTTGGGAAAACTCCGACAAGCGCTGAAAAACGTCCTAAAAACGTCATTGATTCTGACGATAGCGATGAAGATACACATAGAAATTCGAGTAGTAAGAAAAAGAAACGACCCATTGTTGATGATGCATCACAAGATGCAAGTTTAGTTACGGTTCCTAGTTCTGCTAGCAAATCAAAATCTAAGCATGATAAAAACGACAGCAAATGTTATGAAAGTTCAGATAGTGAACTTCTGGTTTTGGAAGATAGTGACGTGGACGAACTGGGATCCGAGTCAGACGCCCCTGGTCTACCTGAAGATGATGTTGAGGATGAAAGTGAAAATGCTGATTGGAGGAAAGCACTGCACCAAGTCATGGATTCGGATATGCGAATGAAGAGAAACTCGGAGACCCAGACATCGGCATTTCTGAAGGTGATCTACCTCTACCTCAACGCGGCCTCTTTCCCGGGAAAAGGTTATCCTTTGCATGTTACAGACTCTTTCAAACTATATCCGCCGGAATCGGGACCCAATTTGCGCAAATGTCTTCAAACAGTGACGGATAGAGTGAACGCAATGTTGGGAAAGTTCTCCAGGGCTACCTCTTGGCAAACTAATTTTCAGTTTTTGGTTGACCGCTGCTCTGAGATATCCATGGGGTACACCCAAGACAGAATGACATGTGAGGCGTGCGGTCGCAGCAACACTGTGAGCAGTCAATCTATTGAGTTCAAAGGGACCGCCTATGACCGGAAGACATACACATTGCAGAAAATAAGCAGTTTGAGTTACAAGGGACCCATCTGTTTCTGTGTTGGCTCACATTGCGTTGTTAGGATTGAAATGTACCACATGTTACGGCACTACTTGTTCTGTGTGTTTCTACAGTGTAAAAGGTATGCGGAGAAAAATCTTCTGTTGGACCATAGGCGCATCAGAAGAAAGAGTACAGATATAGAGAGAGATCTGAAACGGATAGCCTCGGAAGGCAATGAGTGGGCGTTAGATTTGTGTGAAATGTTCGCAAGGGACATGAACAGAGCTGCTAATCAACGGAAAGGACTTGACTGGAGTTTCGAAAGATGAAGCATATTAATCTAAACTTGACAGGTTACTGATGATTTGTCTGACAAAAACTGATGATTATTTATTTTTGCAGTGCTAGTTTTAATTTTGCAGTATTTAAATTTCACTCAATTTCATGAATTACCGGTCCTACTGCTTCTACATTGTAGAAATAATATCAGCATGCTGGATATTAGCAATAAATTCAAATCTCTTGGCGTCTCCCGCAAACTTAGCCTTAAGATAGCACCTATAAATGGGACTGCTAAGGTCCTGGGCTTTAATGGGGTTAGAACCCGTTTTTTTAACTGAATTTTTTGCATTCTAAAAAATTGCCGCGTATCGTTTGTCTGACTTTGTTTTGACAGCTTATTTGCAGCATCACTGAGTTTTCGTTTCTAAACAAATTCAGTTGAAATATCTTTTTAAAAATTCAGGTAAACCATTGGATACCTATTTCATTTTTTTTGGCTTTGCATGAAAACGCGATCTATTGGTAAAGATTACGGCTGGGTTGGCAAATGTGCTAGACTTATTCCAAAAGGAAAAATTCTGTTTCTAAAAAATTGTCGGCCTAATGTTTGTCTGCTCATGTTTGTTCCTGTGTTACCTCGTCATGGATGTTTCTTGTGATAACAGCATTTTTTATTGTGATTGAAAGTGTTTTGGCTTGTTCCTATAATTTCTATACTTCAAAATCTAATTTATTTGTATTTTTTTTCGCTTAAAAGTTTAAATTGGCCTCAATGTTTCGGCCTATGTTTTATAGGCTTTGTGGTCTAATTTTGCCACGTTTGAAGGCATAAATAGGTTTATATGCGTTTGTGTGTTTGTTTTTTGCCTCTGTGTCGGAAATTGAAGTTTTTATTTGAAAAAAAATCCCATTTTACGAATATTGCTTTTTTGACTTCCGTATTTCCATCTCATTTTCTATTTGCTTGCTGACAATGGCATGCTTATAAGAGACCGTGGAGCAGATTAGTTAGCATATGCAGCTGCTTTTTTTGTGACTAGTGTTTGCCGGTTGTTAAGCGTTCGTGGTCGAGAGGGAAGGACGTGATACTCCAAATCTGTGTTCGTTTCAGAAAAATTGTCGGCTTATTGATTGTCTGCCTATGTTTTGTCAGCTTCAGTCTCATACGTGATTTTTCGCCGTTTGATTTATGATTTCTGTTAAAGTTCAGTTCTTTTTCTGTTTTGAAAGGAAGCCAACTCTACTATTGAACAGCAAAAGTGTAAAGTCACAAAAAACGTGATCGACTTCTAGTCAGCAGAGTGTCATTCACAAATTTTTCAAGAAATTCTAAAACCTTTAAGGCCATCTAATTTTCTTTGAAATATGAAAGTTTTTCAATAAAGAAGCCGTTAGTTTTTTGCTTGCTTGTGTTCATTGACTCTTTTCTAGCTGACTACTGGTTTTTGTTTTAATTTCTTAGCGATATAATATAATGAGCTAATGGCTATTTTGTGGGAGACATTATTACACCTGGGAAAAGAATTTTCAATTTGGAGTTAGGGCTTTTGCGTAGATAAATTGTTACTCAACGAAACTGGTACAACGCTCAGTTTCTTCATCTCATTTTCCCCACAACTTATATTGCCATTTCACTGTAAGTGCAAAAGATATCATTTTTTAAAAAAAATCCTTGCTATCAGCAAGGGTATTGCAATCGGGTACCAGAGTTTTTCCGGAACCAACTTTGTTCACAGGTGGTCAAAAATAAGAATGAGTAAATTTAGGTTCAGTTCATGACGACTTCTAATTTTCCTGAGGCACTTTTGGTCTGGAGGTATGGAATCCTGGGTTCGAATCTGACAGGACCTTAGATTTTCCGTTTCAGAAAAATTGTCGGCTTATTGATTGTCTGCCTATGTTTTGTCAGCTTCAGTCTCATACGTGATTTTTCGCCGTTTGATTTATGATTTCTGTTAAAGTTCAGTTCTTTTTCTGTTTTGAAAGGAAGCCAACTCTACTATTGAACAGCAAAAGTGTAAAGTCACAAAAAACGTGATCGACTTCTAGTCAGCAGAGTGTCATTCACAAATTTTTCAAGAAATTCTAAAACCTTTAAGGCCATCTAATTTTCTTTGAAATATGAAAGTTTTTCAATAAAGAAGCCGTTAGTTTTTTGCTTGCTTGTGTTCATTGACTCTTTTCTAGCTGACTACTGGTTTTTGTTTTAATTTCTTAGCGATATAATATAATGAGCTAATGGCTATTTTGTGGGAGACATTATTACACCTGGGAAAAGAATTTTCAATTTGGAGTTAGGGCTTTTGCGTAGATAAATTGTTACTCAACGAAACTGGTACAACGCTCAGTTTCTTCATCTCATTTTCCCCACAACTTATTTTGCACTTTCACTGTAATTTGAAAAGATATGAAAGTTTTGTTTTTATAATTTTATCGTTGCGATTAGCAAGGGTATTGCAATCGGGTACCAGTGTTTTTTCCGTAAACAACTTTGTTCACAGATGGTCAAAAATAAGAATTAGTAAGTTGATGTTCAGTTCACGATGAATTCTAATTTTCCTGAGGCACTTTTGGTCTGGAGGTATGGAATCCTGGGTTCGAATCTGACAGGACCTTAGATTTTCCGTTTCAGAAAAATTGTCGGCTTATTGATTGTCTGCCTATGTTTTGTCAGCTTCAGTCTCATACGTGATTTTTCGCCGTTTGATTTATGATTTCTGTTAAAGTTCAGTTCTTTTTCTGTTTTGAAAGGAAGCCAACTCTACTATTGAACAGCAAAAGTGTAAAGTCACAAAAAACGTGATCGACTTCTAGTCAGCAGAGTGTCATTCACAAATTTTTCAAGAAATTCTAAAACCTTTAAGGCCATCTAATTTTCTTTGAAATATGAAAGTTTTTCAATAAAGAAGCCGTTAGTTTTTTGCTTGCTTGTGTTCATTGACTCTTTTCTAGCTGACTACTGGTTTTTGTTTTAATTTCTTAGCGATATAATATAATGAGCTAATGGCTATTTTGTGGGAGACATTATTACACCTGGGAAAAGAATTTTCAATTTGGAGTTAGGGCTTTTGCGTAGATAAATTGTTACTCAACGAAACTGGTACAACGCTCAGTTTCTTCATCTCATTTTCCCCACAACTTATATTGCCATTTCACTGTAAGTGCAAAAGATATCATTTTTTAAAAAAAATCCTTGCTATCAGCAAGGGTATTGCAATCGGGTACCAGAGTTTTTCCGGAACCAACTTTGTTCACAGGTGGTCAAAAATAAGAATGAGTAAATTTAGGTTCAGTTCATGACGACTTCTAATTTTCCTGAGGCACTTTTGGTCTGGAGGTATGGAATCCTGGGTTCGAATCTGACAGGACCTTAGATTTTCCGTTTCAAAAAAGGTGTCGGCTTATTGATTGTCTGCTTAGGTTTTGTCAGCTTCAGTCTCATACTTGATTTTTCGCCGTTTGATTTATGATTTCTGTTTAAGTTCAGTTCTTTTTCTTTTTTGAAAGGAAGGCAACTCTACTATTGAACAGCAAAAGTGTAAAGTCACAAAAAACGTGATCGACTTCTAGTCAGCAGAGTGTCATTCACAACTTTTTCAAGAAATTCTAAAACCTTTAAGGCCATCTAATTTTCTTTGAAATATGAAAGTTTTTCAATAAAGAAGCCGTTAGTTTTTTGCTTGCTTGTGTTCATTGACTCTTTTCTAGCTGACTACTGGTTTTTGTTTTAATTTCTTAGCGATATAATATAATGAGCTAATGGCTATTTCGTGGGAGACATTATTACACCTGGGAAAAGAATTTTCAATTTGGAGTTAGGGCTTTTGCGTAGATAAATTGTTACTCAACGAAACTGGTACAACGCTCAGTTTCTTCATCTCATTTTCCCCACAACTTATATTGCCATTTCACTGTAAGTGCAAAAGATATCATTTTTTTAAAAAAATCCTTGCTATCAGCAAGGGTATTGCAATCGGGTACCAGAGTTTTTCCGGAACCAACTTTGTTCACAGGTGGTCAAAAATAAGAATGAGTAAATTTAGGTTCAGTTCATGACGACTTCTAATTTTCCTGAGGCACTTTTGGTCTGGAGGTATGGAATCCTGGGTTCGAATCTGACAGGACCTTAGATTTTCCGTTTCAAAAAAGTTGTCGGCTTATTGATTGTCTGCTTAGGTTTTGTCAGCTTCAGTCTCATACTTGATTTTTCGCCGTTTGATTTATGATTTCTGTTTAAGTTCAGTTCTTTTTCTTTTTTGAAAGGAAGGCAACTCTACTATTGAACAGCAAAAGTGTAAAGTCCCAAAAAACGTGATCGACTTCTAGTCAGCAGAGTGTCATTCACAACTTTTTCAAGAAATTCTAAAACCTTTAAGGCCATCTAATTTTCTTTGAAATATGAAAGTTTTTCAATGAAGAAGCCGTTAGTTTTTTGCTTGCTTGTGTTCATTGACTCTTTTCTAGCTGACTACTGGTTTTTGTTTTAATTTCTTAGCGATATAATATAATGAGCTAATGGCTATTTCGTGGGAGACATTATTACACCTGGGAAAAGAATTTTCAATTTGGAGTTCGGGCTTTTGCGTAGATAAATTGTTACTCAACGAAACTGGTACAACGCTCAGTTTCTTCATCTCATTTTCCCCACAACTTATATTGCCATTTCACTGTAAGTGCAAAAGATATCATTTTTTTTAAAAAATCCTTGCTATCAGCAAGGGTATTGCAATCGGGTACCAGAGTTTTTCCGGAACCAACTTTGTTCACAGGTGGTCAAAAATAAGAATGAGTAAATTTAGGTTCAGTTCATGACGACTTCTAATTTTCCTGAGGCACTTTTGGTCTAGAGCTATGGAATCCTGGGTTCGAATCTGACAGGACCTTAGATTTTCCGTTTCAAAAAAGTTGTCGGCTTATTGATTGTCTGCTTAGGTTTTGTCAGCTTCAGTCTCATACTTGATTTTTCGCCGTTTGATTTATGATTTCTGTTTAAGTTCAGTTCTTTTTCTTTTTTGAAAGGAAGGCAACTCTACTATTGAACAGCAAA